TGTAAGTCCCCCCCATACACACCCCTGTGTCACCCCTCACCTGGCTGGGTGTCCAGGATGGGCTGGAGTTGCCAGAAGCTCTGCTGCAGAGGGAAGCAGTAGTGACTGACATACATGTTCTCCCCACAGACCCGGTGCACCATGGGGTACCCCTCTGAATAGAGGGTGTGGGATAGAGCCTGGGGCCTGATCCTCCCCCCATGGATATGCAGGGAAAGGGCCTGCCAGGGCAGCGGTCCCCTTGAGGCAGACAGGACCTCGGGACCCCACGGGGCCATCACCTGCTTACCACAGTCCCTGCTATAGCAGTGTCCAGTCACTGTTGTCATGGGAATGTCACCCGCTTGCCATGCCCCCTGCTATGTCCATGCACAGTCACTGTCGCCATGGCGGCAACCAAGTTACAACACTTCCTGCTACCTCAGCTCACAGTCACTGTCACCATGGCAACAACAGCCAGTTTACCTCCATCCTGACAACATCACCTCGCCTTCACTGTAGCCAAAGTGAGGATACCTGGCTACCACCATTCCCCACGGCATTGTTCTACCACCCCTCCAGTTACAGGAGTTACCAACAGCCCTCGCACAGTTATCATGTAGTCATGGGGACGTCACCCAATTGTCACCTCTGTACCATTGCTCCAGTCATGCTGACGCTGCCCAATTACTACCATCCATGAGTATTGGGGTTTGGGGAGGGAGCTGTCCCCTGGAATGATGAGGGAGAAAATGTGGGACCCCAGTCCCAGCACCCATCTCATTAGAGTGTGGTACCTACCAGGAACTGGGAGCCTCGAGCAGCCAGAGACAAACCAAGGAACATGTTCATGGCACCAGGGGTCCCTGACAGAGGAGAGATGCACACCAGGCTGAGCAAATAAACTCCATTCCTGTCCCAGAGCAGAGGATAGAACCAAGAATTCCTGACTCCCAGCTCCCCCTGCTATAACCACTAGACCCCCCCCCCACACACACACACAGCTGGGAATAGAACCCAGGAGTCCTGGCTCCCAGCCCCACCCCCCACTCTCAGAAATGGTCACAGAACCCAAGAGTCCTGGCTCCCACCCCAATCCTATTGCTGCCCCCCACAGCACAGGGTGCCCCTACTCTGGATGGGGATCTCCTGGCAGCATCTGGAGCCCGGGTCACACTTGTAGACTTTGCCGGTTTCATTCACGTTTCCTGTCTGCGGCGGGGCCCAAACAATCAGCCTGCGGGAAAAAAGTATGGAGGGCTAGGGGATGGCCCACACACCCAGGGGACTGAGGCCCAGGGGAGGCAGCCCAGCCAGACATGCCCCTCAGCCTTGGGCACAAGTCTTGTGGGGTCCCACGTTCAGCCCTTACCCTCCAGTGCTGGAATTCCCGAACTGCAAGACGCTCTGCCCAAACCCCTCTGCTGCCTCCTGGAAGGTGATGGGTCCCTCCACGTCCACGCTGAATCCACGGCTCGGTGCCAGCACTGCAGGGGTTAAACAGTCACCAGTTAGAGCTTCCCTGATGAAGACCAGACCAGTGGTTGGGGCTTTCTGGCTATGGGACTGAATTCCAGCCCACAACTCTTACCCACCAAATCCCACTCCTCTCCCAAAGCCAGGGATAGAACCCAGGCGTCCTGACTCCCAGCTCCTCACCACTGGCTCCCAGCTGTCTAGCCCTCAAGGGCTATTTGATGCAAATCATTCCCCACATTCATTTGCATAGCACCACTGCCAGACACTCCTATTTAAATATAAATATCATGAGTAGAGCACTACGAAATTCAACGTCCATTTTGGTCAATTTCACGGTCACCGGATTTTAAATATCATAAATTTCATGATTTCAGCTCTTTAAATCTGAAATTTCACAGTGTTGTAATTGAAGGGGTCCTCACGCAAAAGGAGTTATGGGGGTGTGGGGGGGTCGAAAGGTTATGGGGGGGGGCTGTGGCACTGCTACCCTTACTCCTGTGCTGCTGCCGGTGGTGGCACTGCCTTCAGAGCTCGGCATCTGGCCAACAGCCATTCCTCTCTAGCCACCCAGCTCTGAAGGCAGCACAGAAGTAAGGGTGGCACTACTGTGACCCCCCTAAAATAACCCTGTAACTCCCCTGCAACACCCTTTTGGGTCAGGACCCCCAGTTGGAGAAATGCTGGTCTCCCCCATGAAATTTGTACAGGATCAGGTAAAAGCACATAAAAGACCAGATTTCACAGTCTGGGTCATGTTTTTCATGACTGTGAATTTGGTAGGGCATGAGTGGATTCAGTGCTAGTGACGGAAGTCCTAGATTTATCTCCATCCGCTTTCCTGATGCTGATCCATGGCAGATGCACTTCCTGTAGGTACAGAAGGGTTAGATCGGTTTTCATAGATTGATAGACTCTATGGCCATGTAGCCAGTGATTTTAGTTATTATTCACTTGTTGTATGATGTTATGATTATGTTATATCATATATATTCTTTGTATGTTAACTAGAGTTAATTTGTAGGGTTATAAAAGTGTAAGATAGTTACTCTAAATACTGAACTAAGTACTAGAGATGACTAAAACAAGCTGAAATGTCATAGCCTGTAGGTTAAAGCCTGCAGGATTTTAGCTTTTGTTGTGCAAAATTACCCAGAAGATTAATATTAGATCATAAAAATACCATAAACGTGCATCTGTCTCAGACATGTGTCTTAACCATGGGATACAGCTTGTGTGTCAATGCTAATGAGAATAAAGGGAACTTACCCAGCTTATAGAAAATTGGGGTTCATTAAGTTTCCAGGGGAGACAGACCAATAAGGAAAAAGAGGTTGGACACTTTTATGGACACACGCAGATTGTAGGTGTAGACAGAATCACAGTATAAAAAGGGGATGCCCAGAATGGGAAAACTGAGCTCCCTCTGGGAGACTCCAGTAAGAATCATCCCTCTACTGATGATCAAGCCATGAGAGACCCATCAGACCCTAACACTATTGTCAGGGATGTGAGTATAACTATATTTGTAAATTGTGCATCGGTCTGTATAGAATTTCTATATGCTCGGGTAATCATAATTAACTTTAATAAAACTTATAAAATAGTCTAGACTTTGTACTAGTGAATTATAGATGGTCATTACCTTTGGTCTTTATGTGTTCCTAGAGGCTCAATTTGAAGCAAGTAACAGAGGTGACTTTCACTCTGTTAATCTTGAAACCGTAGGCGCGAGAGCCAAACCCATGGTGGTGTCACACCACATTACAAAATGTACTTTAAATAAAATAAAAGGCTACAGCTAGAAGGGACCATTGTGATCATCTATTTTGACCTCCTGCATAACAGAAGCCAGAGAACTTCCCCTGCATTTATTCCTGATTGAACCAGAGCAGATCTTGCAGAAAAATGTCCAATCTTGATTTAAAATGTCCAGTGATGAAGAATCCACCACAATTCTTGGCAAACTGTTCCAATGGTGACTTACACTTTCTGTTAAAAATGTCGGCTCTATTTTCAAAGGCCATGTCTACACTACCACTTATGTCAGCAAAACGTATGTCACTCAGGGATGTGAAAAAAACCACCCCTGAGCGACATAAGCTTCACCGGCATCAGTGGTAATATGCAGAACGCGATGGTGGGCAGAAGACCACCTCCTGTCAACATAGCTACTGCTGCTTGTTGAGATTGTTTAATTATGTTGACCGAAGAGCTCTCGCTCATCAGCACAGAACGGTTACACAAGTGTTCTTACATTGGCACAGCTACATGGGTACAGCTGTGCTGCTGTAAGATCGCTACCGTAGACATGGCCTTAGTTTGTCTAGTGTCAACTTTCAGCCATTCGATCATATTAGACCTTTATCTGCTAGATTAAAGAGACCAATGTTAAATATTTGTCCTCCTCATAGCTACTCAGACTGGGATTAAGTCAGACATTGACCTTCCCTTAACTAGACTGAGCTCCTGGAGTCTATCACTATGGAGCAGGTTTTCCAATCCTTTCGTTAGTCTCCTGGCACTTCTCTGACCCCTCTCCAATTTATCGACATCCTTCGTGAATTGTGGGCACCTGAACTGGACTCACTATTCCAGCAGCAGTCACACCAAGGCCGTATACAGAAGGAAAATAACCGCTCTGCTCCTACTCGAGGGTCCCCTGTTCACGCATACAGAGATCGCAATAGCCCGTTTGGTCACAGCATCGCATTGGTCAGTTTGTGTCGCAGGAGCCAGAGCTGAGTCCCTCCAAACTCATGTCACACACAAATCACCAAACAGCCAGTGGAGGCTACACTGAACCCCAACCACACAGGGTAGCTAACTCCCCCCAATGCAAAACTCACCGCATGGGACTGGCTGGGAGAAGTGGGTGAGTGGAGAAACCCATCCCTGACTGGCTGTCTTCCCCACATCCCGCACCTCCTGGAGACAGGCAGCCAATCAGGACTTCCAAAGTAGGCAGCAGGGCTGAGAGAAATTGTGGGAGAGAAGTAGGGAGTGTAATAATCTCTCAGGTTGGCTCTGCTCTCCTCTCCCACCGCCTGCTCCATCCCTGCAAGCCCGGCCCTGGGAAGCAGAGTCCCCTGCTTGGAGCTGACCCTTTTAGGCTTGGAGGCAGTAAAGACTCTCCAGATTGGTAGGAGGAGGAAATGTGGGGCAAGGTGGGGTGCAGAATCGTGGGGTTGGAGGGCGGGGTTGGAAAATTGTCAGGCTGGCTGGACAAAAGCAGGTGCTTGGAGAGCGGGGCAGGCACCCCCAATCTTCCCTTCTTAGGCCTCGTCTCCCAGTGCGCCTCAAAGCCCCAAGTCTGTCATCTTCATTCTCAGCCACCACAAAGTCTGCCCTCCCCCATGCCCTGCAAGGTCCCAGCCTCACAGACAGAGCAGACGTGACTTTGAAGCAGGAGGAACCTGTGTTGGCTTTATAGCAGGACTTTGCCAACCACGTCCACTTCCTGCCCACCAACCCCATTCCCAGCCACATCCTACCAAGCACACATACCGCACGGAGAGGGAGAGTCATACACACCCCTATGCCCTCCCAAAGAGACCCAACAAATGGCCACATCTCAGTGCCGGGTGAGTGAATCGCTGTACAAACAGCTCCTATGCCCCACCTCAGATGTGGCTGCATCCCAGTGCCAAAGAACTTCAGGGATTCCATGCCAGCAAAATACGGATTTTATGTGCATTGTAACATGTTTTGATGTGGTATTTTCTAATAAAATAACCTCTGGAGAATGAGAATTATAATCCAGTGTCAATACATGCTCCTCACCTGTGTATGTAAATAGAGCCACACCAACTTTAGACCATGCCCTGAACTGTTCATTGCTTATCAACATAGCCTCTTTGACTCTGTTTAGATTGGCACCGGGGGCCTGTTTCACACATTTTAACAATTTCTCTCTCTCTCATTGTTCATTTGTGGCCAATACCATATCTCTCTGGCTCTGCACTTACATTTCTCCATGTCCAAGCGTCCTTCATGTCCTCTTGTGAGCATGTCAGCTGGGAACGTGTTGATATGTAATGTCTTGGCCACCCGATGTTAATAGCCTCGAATACCCTCAGTAAACTCCCATCATTAGCTGTAGCCTCAGCAAATTCATTCCCAAACCTTTCTGAGACTGAGCACCAGACCCCACTCCCCTCTCAGAGCTGGGGCTAGAGCCCAGGAGTCCTGACTCCCAGCTCATTCAAGCTTCCCTTTTGTCTAGTCCTTGGGGACCATTATACGTGAATCATACCATGCATTCATTTGCATAGCAGCAGAAACTCCCACGTGAAGACTAACTATCAGGAACGGATTTAGCACTGGTGAATGAAGCCCTTGATTTATCTCTTGCTGACCCAGATTCATAGGGGGAGGCGGGGAACACTTTCTGTAGGGTAGCAGGGGCAGATCAGCCTTCATAGAATTACAGAACATAATGCCAGGAGGAACCGCTTTGAGCATCAATCTGACTTCCTATGTAACACAAGCCAGAGAGCTTCTCTGAATTAATGCCTGTTTGAACCAGACTGGAACATTTAGAAAAAGATCCAGTCTTGATTTAAAATTTCCAGTGACAGGGTGTTAGACCCTCAGCAGGGGCCTTTTTACGGGATGGGGGAGCAGGCATATACTGGACACAGTGCTGGTATATAATACTTTAAATACTTTTTATGGTTTACAAAATGGATCTTAGTTAGACGTTTTTATGGTTAGTTGAGGTTTAGTTTAGTTACAAGATACAGGGAGTTTACAAGTACCTCACCACATATAAACAGGTCTTTGGATTATTGAAAGATGTTAAATTGCACATGTGTGTAGTTTTTATTTATAATTTACTTTGTGACGTTATTCTTTTTTTGTTTTTGTTGTTTTGGCCCTTTACCCTTTGTTTTAAAGAGACAATTTTGGGCAGGCTGCCATGATCCAAGGCACGCCATTTTTTAATTTTTTATACATTTTTATAGCAGTTCTACTGGTGTTATTTCCTTATCTGCTGATTCTTCATTTTTTCCAAGGACATAAAGTTATTTGGTACAAATAGGTTTTAACCACTCGACCTTTAAGTTCTTGCTTTGGTTGCCAAAATGCAGGTTATAGACACAGTTTTCAAACACACGACAGCCACACTAAACCCCATGGCCTATAACATGTTACATAGATACATAGTTTTTTTATATCTCAATATTCCCCATGTTGATACATGATTAATACCATTAATTATTATATTATTTTATAATTTTGCAAGCCATTTAATTTTATATACTATTTGCCTTAGAACTTTTTGTTGCTTTTTTATTTGGCAGTATAAACATAACGTAATAAAGGTTATTAAAATTATTAATACAAATAGTATAACCATAGGATGCAACATTAAAGTTGGAAAAGCTGTAAAGCTTGGAAGACCATTTCTTAAAAACATTATGCTAATGATGGACTGTTAATTTTTGGGGTGGTCTTTTTTATTTTATTTTAATATTTGACCATTGTGGACTGGAAGGTTTATTTTTTTAATTGAGCAGATTTAGATATAAATCACTTTGTGATGTCATTAGTCTTTTTGACAAAATGCAGGTCATGCACTCCAGTTTCAAACTCACAACAGCCACACTAGGCCCCATAGAGGATATCATATTACATATGATATCCCAACAAGGGAATCCACCACGACCCTTGGTAAATTGTTGCAGTCACTAATTACTCTCGCTGTTAAAAATGTTACACCTTATTTCCAGTCTAAATTTGTCTAGCTTCAACTCCCAAGCCATTGGATTGTGTTAGAACTGTATCTTCTAAACCAGGGGTTCTCATCCTTTTTCTCTCTGAGGCCCCCCTCAACATGCTATAAAAATTCCAGGGCCCGGGGGGGGGGCAGAGGGGCCTTGGGCACAGGTGTAGTTTGACTTCTATTGGGGGGAGACAGGGGACAATGGGGCTCGAGCCCCACATAGCAGGTGGGGGGCTTAGCTCAAAAAGTTTGAAAACAGCTTAAGGTGCAGGAAGAGGGTAGTTGGGGCTCTGTGTGGGCAGGGGGGTAAATCAAGATGCAGGGAGGGAGTAGCTGAGGATGCAGGGAGGGCATAGCTCAGGGTGCAGGGAGAGGGTAGTTAGGGGCTGTGTGTGGGCAGGGGGGTAGCTCAAGGTGTAAGGAGAGGGGTATTAGGGACTGTGCTGGGAGGACTCCCCTGTGCTCCCTGTTCCCAGAGGGGTCTGCCAGCCCCAGACCTGGGGGGCTCTTATCGGCTGCCACTGTGGGAGCAAAGGGGGCTCGGAGCTTCAGTCTAGGGCACCAGCAGGAAAGGCAGGACTGCTGCTACTGCTGCTTGCTCCATGCACCAGCCAGAGCAGGAGCTGTCCCACATTGCCGGGCTCTGGCTTCCCACCTCTGAGCTGGCCAGGGGCGGGGAGTGGGGGGGGGAGGTGTGGAGCTGCCCTGGGACTGCCGTGATTTTGTGCTGCAGTTGGGGGGGAGGGGCAATGCCCCCATGTCCCCAATTCTGCCCATGCGCTCAGGGCTTCTGCCCCACAGGGAGCACCGGAGCTCAGGGATTCAGCCCTGCGCCTCCCCCTGTCTCAGCCCCACAGGGGGGCACCAAGAAAAAGGGATTCAGCCCCGCACTTCCGCCAGCTTCAGCCCCACAGGGGGACGACAGGGATCGGGGCTTCTGCCGCAGAGCCCCGCAGCCCCCTTGAAAGGGCTCGCGGACTCCCTTTGGGCCGTGCACCCCCGGTTGAGAACCGCTGTGCTAGACTAAAGAGTCCATCATCAAACATTTGTTCCCCGGTAGGTATTCATAGACTGAGATGAGCACTCCTTAGTCTTCACTTCATTCATCTAAACAGTGATCGATTGAGCTCCTTGAGCCTATCAGGCAGGTTTTCTAATGTTTCAATCATTCTCATGGCTGTTCTCTGAACCCTCTAGAGTTTATCAACATCCTTCTTGCAGTGTGGGCTCCAGAACTGGCCACAGGAGTCCAGCAGAGGTTGCACCAGGACCAAATACAGAGGTAAAATAACCTCTCCGCTCCTACACGAGATTCCCCTGCTTAGCATCCAAGGATTGGCCACCGCACAGGGGGGAGGGATCGCTCAGTAGGGGGGAGGGATCGCTCAGTGGTTTGAGCATCGGTCTGCTAAACACAGGGTTGTGAGTTCAATCCTTGGGGGGCCACTTAGGGATCTGGGGCAAAATCACTACTTGGTCCTGCTGCTACTGTCAGGGTCCCTTCCAGATCTATGAGATAGGTATAGCTCCATATATTACATAGCACCGGAAGCAACTTCACCCAGGCAGTTCTTGGTCTCTCTGCCGAGTCTATCAATTAGTGCAGGGTGGCCTGGTAAGCTTGTGTTGTGGGAGCCACAGCTGAGACCCTCCAGGGCTATAGGAGGACCAGATATGGGGTTGGCTGGGTGGGGGCAAAGGGGGTGGGGGAGGAGCTGAGGTGGCATCCTCCTTTCATCCCCCAGTCTGTCCCCCTTTCCCATCCCATCCCCCTCATCCTTAGCCACCCCAAAGTCTGCCCCCCTCCATTCCCTAATGGGTCCAGGCCACACAGACAGGAGAGACATGACATTGAACCAGGAGGAAGTGGCTGTGGTTTTACAGCAGGATTGCACAATTGCAAACACTGCATCCACTTCACACCTGCCGGACCCTCCCCCCACATCCTACAGAGCACACATGCCCCCACAGAGAAAGGGAGTCACACCTGTGACCCACTCCCATCCCAGAGAGTCTGGGGGGGAACAGAACACAGAGGGAACTGAACCCAGGAGTCCTGATTACCAGCCCTCCCCCACACAAGACACTAGAGCCCAATTCCTCTCCCAGAGCCGAGGAGTCCTGATGCACAGGCCTCCTGCTGTAACCCACCTACCCCACTCCTCTCCCACAGCCAGCCAAGGAAAGGACCCAAGAGTCCTGAGCATCCAACTGCTCCCATCCCCCTGCCAGAGGGGTACTCGCTGGGCACCCAGGTGGAGGAGCCCAGCTTTCCCCAGTCCCTCTGGCTGGCACTTACCTGCACACAGGTAGAGGATCAGAGGCAGGGGGTCCATCCTGCGCTGGGTGAGGGGTGTCTATGGAACGTGGATGCTCTCGTAGGACGTGTGAGGTTCAAGGGCACTGCCTGGAGAGGAGGCAGCAGAGTGCAGAGGAAAGAGAAGTGGTATCTGAAAAGAGAGAAACACTGCCAGGGGTGGAGGGGGGACTCAGGGTGTTATAGGGCGGGAATAGAATGGAGAAGATGGGGGGGGAAAGTCAACTACACTGACACACCCGATGAGTCAGACACACACACAGCTGTATTGCGACAGATGAAAAACAAACAAATAAAATGACCAAACACACACACCCTGAACTCCTCCATCCCCCTCCCCCTCCATGCTATTGGTCAGCTAGTCATTTTCCACCCTCCCTCCCCCCCCGCCCATCCTTTGTAAATTCAAACAACCCTCTAGTTTCAAATCTTGGAGAAAATACTGCGCACACACCTATCCTGAAACAAACACACACGCAACCAGACAGACAACTGGACAGAGACACAGACACACACAGCTACACTGAGACAGACAGATACACAATTAGAAACAACTGCAGTGAGATATGCACACAGCTAAACAGACACTCTTACAAACTCAGGGCCATCCTTGGGCACACGCAGAATATGCAGCTGCATAGGGCAGGGCACCTGAAAATTTGGGGCACCCCTGGGTCTTAATATCCACCCATCCGCCTCCTCCTATGCCTTTTTTATGGCAACTGCAGCCTGGTGAGTCTTCCTCTGGAGGGGATCTAGGCCTTGTCTACACTGGCAAGTTGGAGCGCATTAAATCAGCCCGGGGCGCCATAACTCCTGAGGTGTCCACACTGGCAAGCGCATGTAGAGTGCCCGGACCCCGCAGCTGGAGCGCCCCTCGTAATCCACCTCCACGAGAGGCATAGAGGTTTCTGCGCCTGGGATGAAGCGCCGCAGTGCCAGTGTGGATGCGCTGGCCTATTACTGCGCTCTGATGGACCTCCAGGACGTGTCCCACAATGCCTGTTCTAGCCACTCTGGTCATCAGTTTGAACTCTACTGCCCTGGCCTCAGGTGACCAACCGTCAGACCTGTCCTTTAAATTATCTGGGAAATTTGAAAGCATATCTTTCCAGGCGACCATGCCTCCATGCGCCAGGCGATCCCCAGCAAGACCCCTACTTATACAGCCCAATATGATGTTGGCCTTCTTGGCAACAAGAGCACATTGCTGACTCATAACCAGCTTCTCATCCACTCTAATCCCCAGGTCCTTTTCTGCAGAATTCTCTCTCAGTCTGTTTGGAAAGAGCCCAGCACTCCAGTGATCACTGCTGCTGATTCTGTGCTTAAGGCTGTTGACAAGTTCTGCTATCTTGGAAGCGTACCCTTCTCCGGTATAAACACTGTTGACGATGTAATTGCTCAACTAGCCAAAGCCAGCGCTGCTTTTGGAAGATTGACCAAACGCCTAGGGAATGACGCTGGTGTTAAACTTCATAGGAAGGTAGCAGTTTGTCAGGCAGTTGGACAGTCACCAGTTGTCCTGATGTATGGATCAGAGTCGTGGACCATATATCGCTCCACATTTTGAAACTAGATCAGTTCCATATGCGCTGCCTCAGGAAGATCGCCCATGTGAATTGGTGGGACAGAATTCCAAAAACGGAGTCCTTTTAGCTGTGTGGTATCATGGGCACGGAAGCAATGCTTATGAACAAATCGTTTCTCTGGACTGGTTATGTTATGAAGATGGATAACACGTGGATACCGAAGATGGTCTTCTACTGCCAGCTTGTTTGTGGAAAACACTCCTTTGGCGGTTAGTATAAGCCAGTGGTCCCCTACGTGGTCCCATCGGGTGCCATGGTGCCCGCCAGGGCGTGTATATGCGCCCACCTACTGGCTGCTGGACTGCTAGGGGCAGATTTTCATACAATTCAAGCACACGTTACCACAATTACACACTCAGGTGTGTTAAATGCAAGTGCAAATTGTCAATTCTGTTGTTCCTTTATGCATGTTATTGCAGTAGTTAATTGGGTGATTACATATGCACTTTGCACAGATAACTGCACCCTACATCTAATTGCAAATGGAGCTCTAGGGCTACATATACCTTCTGAAATATAAGACCCAACACCAAATTTCTTAACGAGAACTGCATATGTAGTTCCCACGTGGATTCTTATTGCTTTAGTTAACTTCCACCGGCCCAACATGAGAACTGGAAATGCCATCAGAAATTTATATTGTGCACCTTTCAGTTTCCAGGCTGCTTACTGAACATTATATCAGATAAGCCACAGTAGATACCTCCTGTCAGTCAGGCCCTCTCTATGATGTAGCATCTTGCCCTAAACTATTTCCAGCCTTGATACCATGGGTCGCAGCCAGTGAAAGGCGCATTTCTGAGAGCTCTAGAGGGGACAAAGCTCCAGGGACTCCAGGCGTTGTTACCACCACATCATCTGAATCTGCTCACAGCAGGATCAAGCTCGGCCACCTCTTCCACCACAGCTGCTGTTGTGGCAGCCACACCAGGGTAGATCAATTCTCAGTCCAGGCACCAGAACCTCTTTTGAGTGTGGGCCTGGTGCCATGGCGCCAATTGAACGCGATGTTGGTGGCAGTTCAATCATGGGAGATTTCCCACCAATTGCCAGGGTAGATGCTGCAGACATGAGCTCTCAGCTCAACCCCATGAATACTGACCTACAGGTTTAGCTCTTTACTTACTCAGCCACTTTCACTGCAAATTTCAACACCAACATCTTGGTGCTCCATCGTGTGGTGTTCCAGCAGATGGGCAGGGGTCAGTGCATTACCTGCACTGATTTTTGTTGCACAATTCTTGCAGAGCATGCTGGAAAGAATTTTTCAAAAGCAATTGGTTTACCAGATTTTAAGCTATAGCTATTAACAATTCGATCTGTTAGATGTAGACGTGATCATTCCCACTAGAAGGCTAGGCCAAAATACTCACTGTGAGCAGATTCTACCACTCCTCTCCCCCCACATTCTGTAGTTCTCTTCCTCTGCAGGGAGATCCATTGGAATGATTCATAATTTTTTTTTTCTTTTTTACAGAAACAATCTGGCGATTCTGACATGTTTTCATTAAATGTTGTGTTTGTCATGGGTGCACAGGGTTGGTGCTCTGGAACGGCTCTGAATGAAGTTCAGACAGGACCCTCTTGCAGTGCCAGGGCACACTCTCCCTTGGCTTCCGCACCTCCTTGGATCTCTTCCGACCTTGGAGCAGTCAGCACCCCTGTTCGTGCCATGAGCGCCCCAGGGTGGGGAAGCCTTACATGCCCCCGAAAGGGCCATGCACCCCAACTTCACAGTCAGCAGTGACTCAGCCAGCGAGGTGAAGCAGGAGGGTTTATAGTTGTCTGGAACATGGCATAGAACAGACCTTGTTAGCACAGAAAGCAGGAAGATTCAGCAAAGTCCATCCATTAAATCACCAGCTTCAGTCTGGTCATAGCCACAGGAGCTCAAACTTTGTACAGTTTGACTTGTGCAGCAGGCAGGCTGCCCCAGGACTGCGGCCAGAGAGGACGACTCCCCCTCCCGGCACTCACCCAACCCAGACTCCACCCATCCCACCTGGAGAACCAGAGTGCAGTATCCAGCCTGACTCATAAAAGACCTCCCCCGCCAGCCTCTGCTTGAACCAAAGCCCATCAGAAGAAAGACTTTCAATATGCAATGAAATGTCAGTGGGAGACACACCTAAGCCCCTCCAGACAAGGGTGACAGGATTAAGGAAACTCCCCTAACCTCATTTGCATCAAACATGGGACAGGGAGGCATCTCCATTAGCATACAGCAGGGGGAACAGAGATTCCAAGGCAAGAACCGCACTGAACTCTGGGACCAGGAAAGCAGGGAAGCACTGCATCATGGGGGATCTCTGCTCCAGATGTTAATGACGCCATGCCTGCACACACCCACTTATCAGACCAATTCTAGTAATAAATCCTCTGTTGGTATCCAAAATACTTAAGTTGTCTAATTACATTATGAGCTCCCTTGAAGGAGCACCACCAATAGCCAGGAATGATCAGTTCCTATTGTCTAGCCTGAACAAAACAACTTTGGTATTCTCCCTTGAGCCATCAGTTTATTCAAACAAATCTAGTCTTATTTCCCTGTAAAAACCCCTACCCACTCAAGTATGGGCTCTGATGCCTGGATCCAAATTTTACATCAGTTCCATTAGGACTTCATCTTCTCCTGACTGATTGTGCTGGGGGCTCTTCCTGTCTCCAGCACTCTGGACCCTCTGCTACCAACATCACCTGTGAACCTTGATGGTTTCATGCTTCACGGAATGCTGAGAACCCACCTCTCTCTCTCTCTCCGTGTAGCCTTCTGACCATGACTTGTGTGATCAGTTATAGTTTGCTAAGCCTAACATTGTAATCAAATTTAAGTTAGATTTAATATTATAACTGTTTTGTTTGTTTGGCTCCTATGGTTACTATTTAATAGTAGGATTTTATGTTTATATTTTGTATGATAAAGGATAAGGATAATAATGTAGTATGCATTAATGCATACATTATTATCCTCTGAGCCATTGGTAAAGATGCATCAGCCAGAATCTTGTGTCTGAAGCTGATTTCAAGGCAGTACTAGACCTTTAGGGTCACCACTTGTTAAAGAATGCAAGTATTATTTTCTCCTGCGTTTCAATTCGATGTTCCTGTACAATTGTTCCAATATGCTGTCTTGTTTTGTGTGTGAATGAGGAACATGTGTGTAGGAAAATAAGTGTGAAGGCCATCACTGGACCAGATGTTCTAGGGAGGTACCGAGGACAGACTAATGGGTGCCAGGAGATTTCAACATGCCCGTATTGAAATGTCAGAGGAGGGCAGATTGATGACTAAAGATGAGGCAGGCACCTATCAATGGGGACAGGATAGCTGTGATCAAAACCAGCATGGGGTAACTCCCTGAGAGACTGATGAAAGAACAAGGATGAGAAGAACAACTTGAGAAAACAAACACTGATTACAGCATGACGATGCAAAACTCATTGGTCCCAATGAAGGAAAATCACTATATAAACCAGGTGCTTTGCCATTTGAAATTTGGGTTCGTCCTGCCAAGACTTCCCCCAGAGCATCGTGTCACGACCGACAGAACCTGGCTTCTCCCTGCCCGAGATCAATCTAGCAGGCCACTCAATTGCTCCGGACCCTGGACTGGTAACTATAACATCGACTGGCGGGACTGTGTGTGTGTAAAAGAGATTGAATGCATATGCTAACTGTTGTATTTTTAATAAACGTGGCGTATTGCCTTGCCCCTGAAAAAGATCCCATGTGCTTCTTATAAGCATAACAACTACCCAGAAATAAATAACTTTCATGGTTAAGTTGGTTGCTTTCCCCCGCCTCCTCTCCCTTGTGGCTGTTTTTGGCTTCCTCATTCACTCTGCAGCAACACTCCTCATACCTGAGCTAAAGATCCCTGCAGTGCCCC